ATACATATGTAGATACACGTTTTTTTTTTTTTGTTAATATTGTTATATACATTTTGTAGTATTTTTCTGTGTAACTAATAAAGTAGATATAAATAATAAATAAACAAAAAATGTTTTATTAAAAATAAAATATGAAAAAATAGTTTTTTAGGTTTCACAGCTACTAAATTGTGGTTTATTTTTTTTAGCTGAATAATGCATGTGAAATAATTTAATTAATGAAAAATAATTTTTTATGCATTTATGTTATTAATAGAGATATTTAAAATTTTTATAAATATATTTTGTCATTAGATGAAAAAAAAAATTGTTTAAGTAGCAATTGAGATTAAATAATAATTGAAATTTAAAGGTTTATTTAATTTATTTGTTCAAGTTATTTAAAAAACACTTGTGGTATATTACAAAAATAGATATATTTAGAAAAATACTATTATTATACTATTATATAGAAAATTTCCCTAAAAAGAAAATTTTTATATTATAGAAAACACTTTTTTATTCTAAAAACATTATAAATTTTTTAAATCCTTATAAAGCATGTAATTAGACATTTATTACATGTATATGTAAGTATTGTCATATAATATTGAATCCTTGCATACTGTTAGTATACATATAAGAAATATCAATTTAAACCTTTCAAGGGAAAAATTGTTGTGTTTCTATTCTATGAGAGACAGGCTCAGAACGTTTTGGATATTCTGTAAATGGTAATAGTAAACCATATAAAGATATTGTGATAGAAAATACTACATGATAAATACGCCGCTAAACCATGTCAAAAAATCGCTAGAAATTGTCCAATTTAGTTGTTTGCAAAACGTCAAATTTATTATAACTTGAAATTTTGTAATTTACAAAATAAATAAAAAATTTCCACAAATTAGTCCAGACTATAGACTAGACTTTATTACATCCTGTAGCAATTTGAAATAAAGCTTTCACATATAGAAAAGTTGATATGAATGAGAAACTAGAGTCCATTTATACCAATTCTGCATACTCCGTTTTTATACCCTACACCTGATGTTTGTAACGCACAAAAATATTGGTCCTACACCCACTTTAAAGTATACCGATCGACTCAGAATCACTTTCTGAATCGATTAAGCCATGTCCGTCCGTCTGTCCAGCTGGCTGGATGTCCATGTAAACCTTGTGCGCAAGGTACAGGTCGCAATTTTCAAGATATTTTGGACATACGAGTTTTTCGGTCCAACGACGAAGCCTATTGAAAATGGCTGAAATCGGTCCATTTTTTCATCTAGTCCCCATATAACCCTACCACCCGAAAAGGGCTTTTGAGTTCATAATTATGTTAAATATTGTAGTATCTCTACAAAAATCGGCAAAACTTAGTTCTATATATGTCTTAATAATACTGCCGATTTTCGTAATTATCCGACTTTATTTGACTCTAGCCCCCATACAAAGTCCCCTCCAGAAAATGACTTGAAGGTCAATAATTCACTAATAAACACTAGTATCACGATGAAATCCAGCATAAATAACTCTAATGTAAACGTAAAGCTATGTACCAAAATTTATAAGGATAGGCTTATATTTACCCTTGCTCCATATAACCCCTCTTTTAGAAAATCACTTTTTTCAACAAATTGTTAAAATATTTCGGAATTAAGATAAACTACTTAAATGCTTCATTATTATTAAAAATAATCCACATTTTTAACATACTCAGTAGTATAGGATATCATATAGTCGGCCATGCCCGACTAACTTTCCTACTTGTTTATAAACAGTTCTTATGTCCTTATAAAAGGACTCCAAAGTTCAAAGGACTGACAATTTCAAACAAATATTTTAAATATTTAAATGTATTGTATTATGCTAATATTGATATCAAATGAAAGCTGGAAATCTGTACATTCTATCTGTATTATTTATTTGACTCACTTAGACAAAATATTAAAAAAAAATAAAATTTTAGAAAGGTCTCATTTTCAAAACAAACATTTTTAAATACTTTTTTGGGACAAAATTTCTTTAAGCTCCTTTTCTTTTTTAATCATTATGAATTGAAACAAATAATATTATTTTGCAGCAGAGATTGTCAGCTTCATTTGATTTTAATATTAATACCAAATTTTTATATAAATTTGGAATGATTCCTTTTGAAATCATATCTCCTGTAAATTTTAAGGACCTTTTACAGGGGCATAAGAGCTGATTATGAAAAACTGAATACACAGAATTAGTACAAATGGTCCATAGTTTTCTGTACACATAGATTTTTTCATGTGTGAAAATGACTGTTGCACGGTGTTATAATTAAGACTATCATTAAGAATTATTATAACTAAGACTAGGCCATAGACTAGACTGTAAACAAGTCTAAGGACTGGACTATAAACTAGACTATAGACTATCCCAAAGACTTGACACTAGACTAGACTATATACTAGACTTAAGCCAGGCAGGACTATAGGCTAGACTAGACTATTGAATAGACTATAGACTAAACTATAGAATAGACTTTAAAATAGATAAAAGACTGGACAATACGCTTGTCTATAGACTATACTACAAACTAGAGTTTAAAATAGACTATAAACTAAACTATAGATTAGACTTTAGAGTACACAATAGACTAGACCAGACTATATCGTAGACTACAGACTAGACTATCGACCAGACTACGTATATCGTAGACTACAGACTAGACTATAAACTAGTTTATAGACTACAATATAATCTAGACTAAAAACTAGACTATAGACTGTACTTTAGACTGTATTATAGACTATAATATGGACTAGACTATACACTAGACTATACTATACAATACTATAGACTAGAATGTAGTCATCTGCAATTACACCAATTTTATATGTGAAATATCTAATATTTATTAAAAATTTTTTGACTTGGGAAAAACCTCCAAACTTTCCGCTAACAGAAAAAAACTATTTTTTTCTTTCAATAATTATTTGAGAAACGTGAGATTTGAAGGGAAAATCTTCAAATTGGTGTGAGAGAGACAGAGTCAGAGCATTTTGGATATTCTAAAAGTAGTAATAGTGGACCATTTCAGTTGCGTTCATCATTTTTCATTCATTTCGAATTCGCTGGCAATTTCATTCTTGAGAATGTCCTTATGCTCTAGAACTCATATCAACTTGAAAAAGAGCTGTTGAAATTTGCATAGAGTGTAAAGGTAATTTCGATCTTATGAACTTGAAGTTGAAATTCTTGATTACTAGAATTCCGTCAACGTAGTTCTCAATGGTTGATGTTCCTATATTTAATTTTAGGATTTTTCTTGTGACCAAATAGATGAACTAAATATTGAACAATTACGAGTATTTTATTACACTATTACGAATATTATACACTCATTATCAAAATATGGCTATTTATTATGAATGTTGCTTTTCGGAAGAGGACCTTTTATGGCGTACAATAGTGGACCAAACTCTTCAGACTTTGAGAAATAATTACATTTTTAAACGATGACAATAAAGTGGTATCATTCCTCTCGATCTTAGAATCTGAAGTTTTTTGTCTTTTTTTGAAATTACAAGTTGGTATAAAATTTGTTATTTTACTTCCTTACGGTACTGAATCAGTAAATAAATATTTTTGGAAGAGTTCTAAGACATAGACATGTTAAAATCATTGAAAAAGCTGTTATCTTTAATAAACTTTTGGTTTACCTTCATAAAAATGGAATGTAATATGTATAAGAATTGTATCGATCTATAAGTGGTACCCTTGAACTACTAATACTTGTTTGAACTGGTGTTTGTAGTTGTAACGGTAGCATTAGTGGTTTTTAAGCAATAACCTCTTTATAGCCTGCAGAACTGTTGCAGGGAGTAAATCTGTGATAATTTATTTTTAAATCTTTTCATCATATTTCAAAAATAAAATTTAATTTAGCTATTATAAAATGAAAAGTTTTAAATATTTAATATATTAGTTATATAAACATAAACAATATAAAACAATAAATTAAAAATTATAAATATATATGGCAAATTAAATTTACTGAGTTGTAGTCATTTTCAACCCAATTTAACAGCTGCAATATATATATGTATCAAATAAATCAATAATTATTACTGATATTTAGTAGTAAAGAGTTTATATTATTATTATTTAAATTCAATTATTTACGTATATGTATTTAAATAGTATTGACTATAGATAGAAACTATCATTGTGTGGTGGGTATTGACTTTGATAATACAATTGTGTTAACAAAAATAGCAGCTGTAAATAAATGCTTAAAATTTTGCCTTTAGAAATTTAGTAAAAATTTAACTTTAATCAAAATGTATTTCAGAAACAATTTCTTATGTAAAATTATTGTTGATTATCATTCTTAGCCGACCTCATATTAATAATTAAATTTTTTCTACATCTACTATTCTTAATCACACAATTGTATTTTTAACTTTTCTTTTTAAACCAAAAAAAAAAAAAACAAATTCTGTCTTTAAGCAAAATCTTTAAATAAATTCATTAAATTTTTGTATTTAATTAAATATTCTCTGTAAAAGTCAAATAATACCATATCTGTAAATATTTACAATAAAATATAAGTAATTTAAAAATTCACAAAAGAATTTAAATTATTAAATAATAGATTTTGTTCAATTTAGTGGACATTCTGGGAAATTAAATTCCAGTACTTCATTCTAATTAATTGTCATTTGTCGCTTTAATATCTTAATTAGTTTAACTACAATATTAACTTTCTATTCTATTAACTATGTTTTTAAATGGGCTAATTTTATTTGTGTTATTTAACTAGTATTTGTTATTAAACTTTGTTAACTTAATTTTAATATAATTTTATTTTAATTATAACCTTAATTATTTATTTATAATGTTATTTAGTTCTAATTGTATTTTTTTTTATTTTATAAATTTAATACTATTTTTGCTTATAAATTTTATAGTAATTTATTTATGTTTTCATAATTATTATTATTAAATATTGAATTTATATTTACCAAATATAGACTCTGTTTTATTTTTGTGTTTTTTGTTTTTATTATGATTATTATTATAGTTTAGTGGAAGCTCCTGTTACACGCTTTTATTTAATTTATTTATAATTTTGTTTACCTCTTTGCCCCATCATTTTGCCTTTTATTAAACATGTTTTCGTCGCCCTTCTGCTGCTGCTGTGCATGGGCCAACATGTTCGGCTCGAAAGTGTTGTTTAATTTTAATGTTGTTTCCAACTAGTTGCTGTGTAAGAAATAAATAAATATTTAAAAATTTAATTGTACATTATTAAATTCATATAAATTTCAAAATTTATGCATTTAAATTTATTTATGCAAATTTTTGTGGTGTGTGTTTTGCAGTACAAATTGAATAAATTAAAATTAAAATCATAAATTTTCTAAAATTAATATTAATTATATTTGAGGTCAAAAAAAAAAATCGATATTTCAAGAAATTTGGCTTACATAAAGGAAATGTATATGACTCAAAAAATAAGTGGTGTAAGGGGAACGATAGATCTAATGATCGAGTGTTATTGCTTTGTTCTATTGCCACTTTTAGGTCTTTTGTTATTAGACCATCAAAAAGAAACATATTATTTTTTCGGATGTTAAATGTCGGAAACATTAGGATAGGTAGGTAGGTTGATAGGAAGATGTATACTACATCAAATCCAAAAAAATACACCAATGCCACTATCGGGCCTGTCATGAAAAAAAGGGAACTGAATGAATTATTTTTCAGTGTTCAGTCTCCTGAATGTAATTCCTAAGAATCTTCCAATATGTGTTAGTTAGGAATGCTATTTAAGGAATAACATCACTTCCAAGATACTTGGATCTAACTTCGACGAATGTTTGACAGTGACAAAGAAAGTGCTCCAGAGTTTCACTGTCCTTTCCACATGCTCTACATTCGTCTGAATCCGCACGTCCAATTTTGCATAGATGTGCTCGTAATCCTACGTGTCCACTCTGAATACGTACCATCATACTAACTTCAGACTTGCTCATTTTCAGGAGATTTTTCGTCTTGCTCTCATCAGGGTCACCCCATACTATCTTTGTAGTTCTACCCACTGTTTCATTATTCCAAGAGGCCTTATGGCATTCTCTCACCCACATTTTTAGTTCAGCTTTTGTTGCGTCGAACGGGTTTGCGTTTGTCAGGTTAACTGCCTCGGTAAATATATTAAGAGCTGTGGGCGCCATATTTATTCTAATCCAATTTATGCATTCCGTTATTGCTCGTACTTCTGCCTGGAAGCTTGTGTTGTGATTTGGTAAACGGTGGTATTTTTCTGATTCTAAGTCTTCAATATAGAACCCCAGCCCACTTTGTCCCCCAATTAGAGCCATCCTTGCAACAACGCATTCCTACTGGTATTTGCTCTAATGTTCCGCTGTGTCTGGTATACGATCAGGCACCTCCGATGATTGTGTATAACCTTTCGATGTGTCCAGTATACATTGATGACGTGTCTATTACACATACAGCACCAGTTCTGCTTACCAAAACTGGCCCACTGGGAACATAATGTCCACGACAGCAGGGATCTTTTAGTGCAATTTTATGTGCAATACTAAACGATCATAAAAATCCTACAATCGTTCGCTGTAATCATTAATTCCGCTTTTTCTGGTGGTGTTGAGTATTCAAAGAGGTAGAAGTGAAACAGATGTGTTTGCAAGACTCCTAGAGCAACTCTATGAGATTTTGACTATTACTTTTTACACACTGATTATTAAGGACAATAATTGAAAACAATTAACTATTTTTTTATAAAGGTTCAGTTTTCAAAATCTTTTGGAACTCCTTAGAACATTGAAATAAACCCCCAGGCAATCTGCGGCCATCATTTGGAAACCGTTCTAATAGGTTAATAGTTTTCAACCTTTGTTGGTTTTCTTGTAAATTCTAAATTTTCAATGTTCTTCGAACAAAACGCATTTGTCTAGTTTTAATTCAAATCTATAATGTCTCAGGAGTTTAATGAAAATGCATTTTTGTATACGCACAATTACTACAAATAAAATGTCAAATGCTTACCTTTATAATAAACTTCTTTGTACATGGTGGGACAGGCAGCTTTACCATTTGCTTTGGAGGTTTTAAAATCAATATTGGTGCGTATGGGCCGGTGCAATAAAGGTTGAGGCGGTCTATAATTATTACCTAAAGGAGCTTTTGGATGATCTGGACTACCTTGCATCAGGCGACGTAGAGCGTGTAACTGAAACATAACAGTAAAATATTTTTTATAACTTTACATAAATTTATAAAGTATGTCAATAAAATGTAAAACATTAATAATTTAGGTATGTTTTTAAACAAATTACGCATCAAAGCAACAGCATTATACATTTTAAAAAATAAATCATACATTTCCTTTATTTTAAATACCTAAAAATCATATAAACTCTGTAAAAGTTATCTTTCTGTCTGACTGCCTATTTAAAAACGTATTACGTCGTATTCAACAAAAGCTGAAAAAACCAGCAGCAACAAACGCAACAAACCAACTAATACTTCAAATCCTTGGCAATAATAACATACAGAACAGAGCGTAGAAAAAAAATAAATAAAATCTCGCTAGCGTTAATTATCTGTGACACTTCAGTTTACCCTTGCAGACATATTCGAATTTACAAACACTTACATACTAATACCCACAAATACACGCACACACACATACATACACTCAATTATTTACACTGTCTGTTACAGTTTCTGTGTGCGTCTGTATGTGTTTACATGGAAAAATCATCATCAAAGTATGGTATAAGCTTACTAAGCTGACTTAATGAGTTCAATGATACCTTACCAAAAATGAAAATAAAAAGAAAATGGCAAAAAAGCATGAAAATATGAACACGTAGGTAGAAGAGAGTTCTTCCTCCATAGCATTATACATACATTTACTCATTCATTTGCGCGACTCATACTCTCTTAGTTTTAAAACAGTGGCCCAGAAGTTGTTAATTTCAGCCACTTGGTTGCACAAGAGTATACTTTAAACTGAAGTTAAATACATATAAAAAATACTTACATTTTGGTTTAACGAAAATCGTAAAAAAAGTTTTAGGACACTGTTTCCATATTATTATCAAATTTAGATATCGTCGTTAATATAAGAGCAAATATGCGTGGAGATCTTGAAAACCCAGGATCCGAAAGTATCAGTAATTTTGTAGAGCATTGGTTCATAAAAACATTTTTTATGTCGAAATTCATCGTATTTTTAAGCCAGTAATTAGCATTAAAGTAATTTTCTGAAGGTTTTCTTTTATGGGTTATAGGGTCACTTACTGATCTATGTAATTTGGTAGAAATATTTAGGTTT